TCATGGAATGGTTGGCGATGGAAGGGACATTAAAGCTCATCTCATTCCACTCCCTGCCTTGGGCAGGGACACCTTCCACTAGAGCAGGTTGTTCAGAGCCCCATCCAACCTGGCCTTGAACACTTCTAGGAATGGGGAAAGAAGCTCATCAAAAGCACAGTGTAAACCAGGGACAGAACTGGGAAGGATTCTAGGCCTGGACCTGTTCCTAGTGTTGGAAAAACAAGCTTCTGGGAGATTTGAATAGCTGAAAAGGAAAAAAAAATGTGATACTCATAGCTGTGTACTGTTATAGCCACAGAAAGTCACTACTCTCAGAGGGTCTCTCCTTTCATATGTTGTGGGAGAAACATGTGGGGAGACCCTCTAGGAGGGAGCAGGTAGTTTTTTAAATTTCAGTGTTATGACACATGGCAATGCCCAGGTGGGTGGTTTGTTTTTGATAACTAACCTGAGCCATGCCTTTAAGCTAAGCATGGCCCTAGGGAGCAGCCATGCTCTGTTGATAGGACAACGGGGGATGGCTTCAGCTGCGGGAGGATAGATTTAGATTGGATATTAGGAGGAAATCCTTCCCTGGCAGGGTGGGGAGGCCCCTGGCACAGGTTGCCCAGAGAAGCTGTGGCTGCCCCTGGATCCCTGGAAGTGTCCAAGGCCAGGTTGGACGAGGCTTGGAGCAACCTGGGCTAGTGGAAGGTGTCCCTGCTCATGGAAGGTGTTGGAAAGGGAAGGTCTCCTTAAGGTCCCTTGCAGCCCAAACCATTTATTGATGATAATTCTATGGTGCCACATGCTCAGTGGTCCTTTAGGGAGGTATTTGAGATGGCTGTGATAGACCTGAACGATGTGAGTTCGTGTCCCAGCTTCATGGAAGCAGCAGCCAGCACATTCTGCCTTTCCCTCAATCTGATCCGTGTGTCCCTCCTGCCCGAAAGCGGGGCCAAGCAGGCGGCAGCAGCCCTGAGTGTGGCTGTGGAAGTGGAGATGTTTGCCTGCTGTCAGTGTTCTGGGCTGGAACCACCAGGTAGCCTGGGTTTGGCTCGCGGCCCTCGGTGGAGTGTCTTCTCCAGCTCTGAGGGCCGTCAGAAGTCACTGCGGTGCGTGGCAGCAAATTTAACAACCGCTGGTGCTCGGAAACAAAAGGGGGCCCCGAAATAGCAGTGACTGGTTTTGGTGGGTCTGTTTAGAAAACATGATCATACCCGTTTGCTCAATTTGCATGTCTGAAAGGCTTCTGCTCAGTTAATTGGTGAAATTAATTTCTGCTGCTGTAAACAGAGAGCTGTATTAAGAGCAGAACTGAAGTAATTTTACTTTACATTATTCTGTGTCATGGCACATCGTTTCTTTCTTACTCAAGGCAATTCATTTCGTAGTGCTGTCAAGTGATACTTGGTGTCATCTTCAGTCAATGCGGCGGTTTTGATTTTCCCCTGATGTTTTAGCAGTTTGTTTAGTCCCGTAGATAATGGTCAATGGCCTTGAGTAGTCAAATTAACACCTCTGCGGCACCGCACGGGAGCCGCTGCCGGTGACCTGGGGATGAAAAGCGATGGGAATCGAGGCGGGGAGCGCGTTTTGGGGGATCCTTGATGGATCGGTGCGCTGGCGGCGGCATCGGCCCGCAGCTGACTAAGATGGAGCTGCCCGTTCGCGCTGACCGCGGGCCATCCCCTGCGCGGGGACTGGGCCCGGCTGAGGGGCCCGGCCTGCCCGGAGCCGGAGAACGCTCCGGTCCGATCGCTCCGGCTCCCGCCCGCCCTGGGAGCCGCGGACGCCGCCGATTTGATTCCTCGGCCGCCGTTCCTGCAGAGCTGCGGGGCCCTGCCGGCTGTGTCCCCCCGGGGGCCCTGCGAGGCAGAGCTGTTGTCAGCCAGCCCCGGTCCCCCCGCCACGGCTCGCATTGCTGGCAGGTTCCTCTCACTGCACCTCATTTGCATCTGGGACATCAATTAGCATGTTTGTTGAGGCTAATTGAATGAAACTCAATCATAGCTCTTAATTGCTTGACTATGTGAAAAGAAATCACATTAATGCAGCTAATTAAGTGTATGGCGATAGATGCAACATAATTAGGAGCGAAATGTAAAAAACAAGCGATGGCGAAGGTGTGGGGACCAGGGCACCAGCTTCTCCTCTCAGCCACGTGTTTGGGGAGGGGTCCCTCGCCTTTGCTGCTTGCTTTATTTTTTTATTTTTTATTTTTTTCCCCCTGCCTTGCTGAGTGATGAACACGGACAAGTCGAGAAGAAAAATGCAAATGGATTCACAATTACTACTTTTTCAAGCTGTTGAGGGGCAGAAGATGGCACGTCTGGGGTGGCCCACTGTTGAGTGGGCTCTAGGGACTTGTTAAGTGCTGTTTAAAAGTACTTGGCTTTGAATTACCCTCATGCCTTGTTAAAGGGTTTTTTCCCCTTTTTTCTCGGATCAGCATTTTCTACAACTAACATCTCGGGGAGTTATCTCTGTACCATTTGCATATCAAAATCTGGCTTGCTGTCTTCTCTTTAACACAGCATATTCCAGATGACAGCAAGACCCTCATCTGTTCTAATCTGATCAAACCCTCCATTGCGCTTCTGAAGCCGCCACATTATTTTGTAGTTTGAAGTTCTATTCCCCGAGCGGGATCTGACGGAGCTCCCTCCGCCGGCTGGGAATGTGGGCCTGGCCCCCCTCCCCGGGGGGGACGCACAGATTATCGCTATGCATCCTGCACACAATGAAAGAGCCTTTATTATTTACATTTGATATATCCCCATAAATATTTAAGCTGACATTAATACCTACGTGGCATCTGTTGTGCTCGGGCACTTTGGTCTAATAACGGTGTGGCTGCAGCGCATTTATTTTCTGTTTGCCAACATTCACTTGCTCTCTCAAATGGTTTATAGCTCACCTTAAGCCTGGTTCAATCCCAATTAAAAGGGCTTTAATAACGCCCTGTCACATCTCACGAGCTGGCAGGGAAGTCGTACATGCCTTTCATCTGAATAATCTGGAATAAACACCTCCTTCTGCAGTGGAAGTGGAGCGCTCTGTGGCTGTACATGAAATAAAACATGTCTATTAGAAAAGAGCACGTGCCGAGTTTTAGTCACTCTCTGATTAAGCCTCATTTTAGAGCCCATAAGCAATAAATGCTCAATTATCTTCTGCTTATTGTATTTTAATTTGCGAAGAACTGACACCGAACAAGAAAGTTCCGCCAACTTGGTAATTTATGGATGAAACGCTTTTGTTCGTCTCTGTCTAACACCTAGTAAAGGAATTTTCCTTAATGGATTGCCTTTGTTTCTTTTGGCAGCAGAGCTCTGCGTCCTCTCCCCAGGAATTGCTCAGGCCCCACCTTTTGCTGTTAATACTTCTCAGCTAGGGAGAAATAAGCTGATGTGATGGCTTAGTCTGGGGGGTTTATCACAGATTACTGTTAACTGGGAAGAAATTAATGCTGGTCCCAGGTTTTTGATGGATTTTGAGCAGAATATATAATTTGCATTGTAAAAGCTGCCAAAGGTGAAAGAATCTTGATGAGGGAGCTGATTGTTCCCTGTACTGTGGCAGCAGTGATACGGGTTTGGGGTAGACTCGGGAGTTTTCGTGTGAAATGGGTGCTCTGGTGGTGTCCAGGTCTGTGCAGGCAGTCTGTCATCTAACACCTGTCATCTGGCTGAATCTTGCCCTGATGACTTGGACAAGGGGGAGTTACATCTGAGCTCATGCAGGTGCCCACGGTGTCACCCAGGTCTCTGCGAGGCGATCAGGTTCTGTCTGAAAAGGAATTAAGACTTTTTGCCTCCCCACAGAAGTGGCTCAGGAATACCATTCCCCTGGTCTCCAGCTTAACTCAAGAACTTCAGCCCAGATCTTTTCCCAACCAGTTCATACTGCTGTTCTCCTCTTGGGATATTTAATCGTGGAATCACAGACTGGTTTGGGTTGAAAGGGACTTTAAACACCATCCTGTTCATCTGCTGCCATGGGCAGGGACACCTTCCACTAGCCCAGGTTGCTCCAAGCCCCGTCCAACCTGGCCTTGGACACTTCCAGGGATCCAAGGGTAGCCACAGCTTCTCTGGGCAACCCAGATATCCTTTTGTGCAGTGATCTTGTCCCTTTTCACCCTTGATTTTGCTCTCCTGTGTGTCCCCTCTTGCACGTCCTCTGTAAGACACCATCTCTTTTGTTTCTTTTAGTACCCTCATAGTTGTTCCAGTTTCAGGCACTTTTTCTGGAATGTGAGGAACCACAACCTTGTGTACCAGGAAATGAGAACTTGGGTGTCTTGTGGTGTCATTCACCATCTCTCCTGGAAATATCTCTGCTGAATGTATCCCAGGATTGCAGCCTCAGTGGCTGTCTGACCTTAATCAATTGCTTTCTGATAAAAACACCATTTTTATGTGTCTGTTTGCTCTTACATTTCTTTCCCCATTTGGGCTTTCCAAACAGGAATTAGCAAAAGCCTTTTCCACGTCTGGGTGTTTCCTCTAATCAGAAGCAATTTGCATGCTTTTTTCCCTTCTGTGATTTCTTGTGTGGGTGGAGGAAGGGTCTCATATTCTAAGGAAGCAAAGTTGGAATTGGCTAGACCTTACGTGCTGGTGCCCTTTTGTGCCTGCTGATCCACTTCAGCCAAATTTGAGGAAGAGATAAGGGCACAACACACTGGCAGAGAGGAGGCACAAGTAAATGTGCTCGTGAGGGACACTCAGCTTTGTCATCTCTGTTTTGGACCTCTAGCTGGTGAACTCCTACATGTAGCTCAAACCAGACTCCAGCTGGTAGTTTGAGGGTGTAGTAGAAAGCTCCAGACTTTGGGGATTAATTGTAGTAGCAAGGGATTATCAAGAAAATGGAAGGAAGGGGAAAACCACACAGTGGGTGCTGTCAGCGGATGTCGGGCCAAAGTCTTATGGAACCAGGTTTGTTAATTCTGTTGTTTATAGAACTCCCTGTTTGATGTTGGGGTTTGGGTCTCTCTTCCCTCTTGCCAGGACTATATGCAGAACGTTCATGGGAAAGAAATCGACTTGCTGAGAACCACTGTGAAGGTCCCTGGGAAGAGGCCACCCCGAGCCACGTCAGCCTGTGCACCCATTTCCAGCCCCAAAACCAACGGCCTCTCCAAGGACATGAGCAGTTTACACATCTCGCCAAATTCAGGTAAGAGAGCACCGTGTTAGGGAAAAAATGGGAAAAAACAGCATTTCCAGTGCCTGCAGGCAGTTGTTGTGTGTGACTGGGGTGGGGATGATGTCTGGGAATAGTGTCCAAGGCCAGGTTGGACGGGGCTTGGAGCAACCTGGGCTAGTGGAAGGTGTCCCTGCCCGTGGCAGGGGAGTTGGAACTAAGTGGTCTTTAAGGTCCCCTCCAATCCAAACTGTTCCATGATTCTGTGATTCCACTCATGTGGAACTTTTCAAGCCCTGGCGGCTGGTCTGTCCTGCACAAGAGGTTCTGAGAAGCCTTCAGTGTCTGTAATTGTGTATTTGTTACCTTATACTTGCCAAAACTCTACCTACTTTCACAGAAATTAACAAAGAATTGATGATCTGTTAGGTCTAGTACTTAGGAAAAACAAATGCTGTATGATTTGAAAGGGCTCTTTATGGCTTCCTGGTGGGATCCACAGCCCTTCTTTCCGCTTGTAGAAGGATTCATAATTTGGACTTTCCAAGAGCAAGATTCTTCTGTAGAAAGCTGTTCTAATTAGTTTATGGAAGTAGTTTATAGCTCCTTGAGAGCTCTAAACAAAGAAGTTTATTGTTCCCTGAAGTACTTGTCCATACAGCTGAGTGGATTTTAAAAAATTGCATTAAGAGAAAACATTTGTGACAATTTATCTTGTGAAATGTGCAGCTTATACAAAACTCCTAATGGTCTAGTGGAAGTTCTGTCAGCATGTTTGGGATGGTGTCCATAAAGTGCTGAGTGCCTTTTGCATTTATGATTAACACAGACCCCTCCAGCGTGTGCCAAAAACCCATCCACACACACTCCTGTCCCTGTGCAGCACCCAGTGGGAGCAGCAGCCGTGGGAAGGAGCTCGCTCAGCTGGATGTTCAGGAGTCTTCACTTGAATGGTGGTGGTTACCTGATGCTTCACAGAATCCCAGAGTGGGTTGGGTTGGAAGGAACCTCAAAGATCATCTTATTCCAACCCCCAGAGCTTCAAGGCATGGTGTAATTCCCTGTGTGTTTGCAGTGTGTGTTCCCCTGTATTAGGAGAAAATGGAGAAGTTTGATCTCTTCCAAATGGGAATGCTGCTGGTTGAGATGGATTTTGGAAGTGGTGCCACTGAGCAGACACCCCTGCAGTTTGCTGTTTAATTTAGATGACTGGGTGCAGGGAGTGCTTTTGTTTTTCAATATATTTTGTAATTTAGGGAAGAAAAGTACTGGGCTGAGTCAATAAAGCAGGGGTAAGATGTTCCAATTAGAGATTTCTGCTTTTAAGTCATTTGAACACAGGCAAAAATTACTTGATTGCTCCAGAGAGGTACATTTTTGAAAACATATTCAGAGATATGTGATAAAATAAATTTATAGCATGGAATTTTCATGGTTTTGCTTATGCTTAGATTGCCAGGTCAGAGGGAGGCTTTCCATGACAGTGCAGAGCAGACAGCTCTCCCTGGCAGGGGTGGGAGCACCGTGTGTGTGTCCTGGCCAGCCTGAGGTTTGATCACACTGAGGCAAATGCATCAGTCCAGAAAGTGCAAATGCTGGAAAACAGCTCTACTTTTAGGTAGTGGGTTTCAAATAACACTGTGGGAGTAGTTGAAGCTTCTGTCCTCTCTCTTGGCTTCTTCATCATGTTGCTTAGAAATACTGAAAGACTTTGCTGGTTTTGATGCCTGGTCAGCATCTGCTGCTTGTTACTGGATTAAAAGCAAACATAAAAAGTAACTGCTCATCAGGAAAGTATTACTTAAAAAAACCCAAAGAAATGAAAATGAAATTAAGAAAGTAGTAGGACACACTGGATCTGGGAAGTCCCTGCCAGCAGCTCAGCTCTGCATCAGTCCGTGTGTCCCTCCCAATGTTCTCGTGTTCAGGTGAGGCTGAAGAGCTGCACTGCAGAGAGGGATTTTAAAATAGGGGAATATTAATACTGAAAAAAAAAAAGACACTGTCCCAGTCTGTGCCTGGTTTGCTACTCTGAACCTTGCTGTGGTCGGGTATTTTGGTCACAGCTGCTGTTGGGTGGGAGACCTGTAGGTACTCGGTGCTCGATTCTGCTGATGTATCTGCACTTACCTGTCCTGCAGCTAAAGACACCTGCAAATTACCCCTTGCAGGCTGTGCTGCTGTCTCAGAGCTTTTCCTGGGAAAATGTTGTCTTCAGCTTGTGTAGGGCTTGAAAATTGATTACAGGGCTGAACTTGTTACTGGTTTTTCACAGGGAGGTTTCTGTACACGGATCTGTGCATGGACGAGGCTTGAACCACACAGAAGGAATCAGCACTTGCTATTTTTAGTTTTAGGCCTGTAAATTCACTATACTCTCACTGTTGCACGTTACCTCTTCCCCAAAGCAGTCACATAGTGCTTATATTAAATGATGTCTTCATTTAAAGACATTGATGGTCAGTTAAACACTGTTTGGAAGCTGCCCCTTAAGGAGGGATGTCAGTGCCAACTTGGCCAACAGATCTATAGATTAGATGCCTGTTGGATTGCCTATGACTGACATGTTCTAAATTAATTTTTCATGAGTGCTCAGCAGATAGTTTTCTCTGGCTCTTAGTGGAATTTCTTGTAATTCATCTTTCCCAAGGTGCTTCCCGTAGCATTGCTATGAGCAGGGTAGAAGGAATGAGGCTCCTCAGGGTGATGCTGTGAATTCAGGAGGGGCAAACTCAGTTATTTGGCAATCCAAGTTGTGACAGCCAAGCAGGAGGTGCAAGGTTTGCTGTTAGGTTTAATTGCCATAGGGGTCACATGCAGAAGGTGAAGTTCAAAAGTATATGGAATTTTGTCGTGCTTTGTGGCATTTCTGGTCTGAACATTGTTGTTTTTCTGGTTTTAAAGACTTTGACAAGCAGACATATAATAACCATCTCTCAGTGACAGTTATCCCAGTCCATAAATGTTTTCATCCCAAACAAAGCAGGTGTCTCTGGGTAATAATCATCTTATCAACAAAAGCCAAGTTCCAGTCCTTGAGAATTTCCATTTCAGAGATGTAAAAAAATGAAGATCTTTATGAGAATAGATGAAGAGAAAAAACCTCCAGATCTTTACTCTTTCTGCTGGGTTTCCACTGACACGAGGGCTGGGAAAATTCTTTTCCTTGGCATCAGGTCACAGTCGTGGTAGGACACTGTCCAAACTGAAGTGAAACAGCATTAGGGAAAAGGAGTGTTTTGGGTGCTCTGTCACAAAGCAGACGAATGACTAGAAGGTGAAGCTGCTCTGCTGCTGCAAAGCCAGACACTGCCTGGGAAAAGGTTGACTTTTAGTTGAAAACTGGCCTCTGGGCTTTCTTGGAGGTGCAGTTTGGGGTTTATGCTGAAAGAACTGGGATTCTGTGTGGCAGCTTCTCCCAGAAAATAAAGAGACATGGGGTGTTGGTTTAGTTGTGTTACCTATGTTATATCTAGGCTTATTAGCCATGGCTTTAGGAAAGGTCCCTGTTCTTGTAAACTAACTTGGTGGGAATCTGTGAGCTGGGGAAAATAGATGTTTATTCCCTTTAATCTAAAACTGTGTTACTTTTCTGGTATCCTAGTGATGCTTAAGTAACTGAAATTTAAATTAAATTTATGTGGCACTGAGCATCATTCTGTTGATGCCGCTCAGTTGGAAGTCCTTCAGAAAAGGATAACTCTTGGACTTGCTCAGTTCCAACCTTCTCTAATAATGCAGCAGGGCCAGAGTCCTGTCCATCCCACTGGCCAGTCTCTTCTGGAAGCTGACTCAGCTCTTGCTGACTTTGGAGCAGAAGTTGGGTCCAGGTTTCATTTGCTCCCAAGTTGGGTTGGCTTTGAGCTGACTGACCTGAAGGTGAACTTGTTCCTGAAATCCCTCCCAGGAGTCATTTATTTCTTCTCCCCTCCAAACAACCCAAAGCCTGAGCTGCAGCAAGAGCCACTGATGTAGAAAATTCACGTCTAAAAATAGCTCGTGGTGTAGAGATAAATAGTTTCCTGATTAACACTTCATTTAAATAATTTGGTGCTATTAAATTTCCTTACAGTAGTGACTGTACAGTATGTGAAGTATCCCAAAATGTGTGAGTTCCAGGCCGTCGTTAAGGGTGCTGAAGGTTGTTATCTGCTAACTCTGGGTGACATTTCAGATGCCACAGGAACAGCAGCTTCACATTCTTATCAGTGTGAGTTTTCTGGCTGTTATTAATTGTGATCATCTATCAAATCATCAGTGGTTTTTGTAGACCATACAATAATTTTTTTTAATTGGAGGGCACTGTGAGGATTCAGATGTTGTGATCAGGCTGATGATGAGTAAAAATGTTTATCAAGCCAAGAGCTCACAGGCAGTTGCTCCACAGCCTGTAGATCGTGGGTGCCTTTGCAGACAAATGCTAAACTGAGTCCTAAATTCTTGAATGTGCTCTGAATTCTTTACTTGGAGGTCCCTGAGGTTGTGTACTGGGGCGGTGTGGACACGACAGAGCCAGGTTTGATCTGGTGTGGTTCCCCCAAGTTGGTTGTTGGCAGGTATTTGTCACTAATTTTGCAGTCTGACGAGGTACGTGAGGCGATTGGATTGAACGTGAAACGTGGGGTCCATGGATTTGCCACAGACCACAAATACAAGTTTGTGATTTACTTTTGTCATTAATCACCCGAGTCAATTTTCCATTTGGTTGGGTTTGCTGTTAGTTCAGTGATACACAGCTGCAGCAATGGAAGGAGAAGTTGTCAGTTTGCTCGTTTCCGAGGAAAAAAAGCCCAATTTGAAGTGCATCGGAGATTTCCCTTTCATCCCACTAGAGGGGGATCCCTCAAGGTCATCTTCTCCCGTTCCTGTGGACTAGGATTTGCTCTTTCCAGAGCTAGAGAGCAAGAAACTTTCACTGTGAGTACCCTATGTTCCTCAATAACGGGGGGAAAGGAGCAGGGCACGTGTGAGCCTTAATAAAATAAGTATTTGATAAAATAACTGCATTTGTTAAATATTGGGGGGAAAAAAGA